CATCTTAATCGTTCTGCAGAACTGTACAGCAATAGTTATCTTAATGAGACTGGAAATGTTGACATTTCCAGTGACTACATACTGTAGTAGTGACAGCGCAGTGATCAGTGAACAGTGTAGTAGTGTCGGAAGGCATCGGAGAGGATGCCGAAAGCTCGGCAAAATGGATATCGACTCGGTTCAACCCGGAAGACTGGTGAGATTGATATTAATTTTAGTAATAATATTAATCTTAGCTCTAGGTTTCATATATATATATATATATATATATATATATATATATATATATATATATATATATATATATATATATATATATATATATATATATCAACGCACGCCAGATAAATTTTCACTGAACAGCACTGGTTCCGTTTCAAACATGACTGAACGTCTGCGCGAACGAGATGCGCGTACTTATTTTTTTAAGGAGAGTGAGCATTCTGGTTGTTTCTTATTTTGTTGCATTGATGTGGATAGTGCTCGGATCTTCAATTTCAGTTTAAGATTCAATGAAGTTTAGGACTGTCTGTGTGTTGATCCGGTCGAAACTGTCCCATAATATAGAATGTACATCAAAAGAATAAATAGAAGACCAGATAATAAAAATGTTGATAGGTAAAAAAGAAATAAATAAGACTTACTCACAATCAGTTTAGTTTAAATACCTAGACGACCGGTTTCGCTTTCTACAATTTGCAAAGCATCTTCAGGTACGTCGATGCAAAGTTAATTAAATGATGCCGGTACACAATTTATTTACACGAAGATGCTTTGCAAATTATAGAAAGCGAAACCAGGTAGGTAAATTAAACTGGTTTTAAGTCTTATTTATTTATTTTTTACCTATTTGAAATGGACTCACACAAGCAACACATTCATGATTTAAAAATATTGATATTTGTGACATCTAGTTTTCCTCTAGTGAAATGAATAGCTTCACGGAGAAAGAAAAAATATTTGGAGTAATCTCTTTTTAAATGCTGTATTGGCATCTTAAACTCTTAAATAGTGCAGACGTAAATATAAAGTGCAATATATAATGTTTATATAAATAAAGTTATAGCTTATTGATATTATTCGAAATGTTTAAGCAGTAATTAAGTGTTTTATTTATAACTACTAACTTTAAATTAAGTTAATTAATAATCATTGTTTTTCTAATTAGTTTATTAGGTAGTATGAGCTCCGACCTACTGCATGCCCTAATGTAGCTTTCATTTGTTATTTTTAAGTATGATCGCTAAAATTTTTATAATAAAGAAGTTTTTAATATGATTTTTTTCCCATTAGTCATATGTTCTTTCAATATGTTCCTAGAGATACTTGGTAATTTTCAAGGAGATATGAGATGGTTTCTTTTGCTTAACATTCATATCAACATTTGAGGTGGTTTAAAGCAAAACCGAATAAATCCACTAAAACCGATTTTTGGAAAAATAGGATTTTTCTGAGACGCAAAAAGTAATTATTTTTTTGTTTATCTTGTTCGCAAATACTGTTAGAGAAGTCATAAGAAAACTTTTGCTACAATCTAAATTTAAAAAAGTGATATTTAGTGCAAAAGAAAATTTAAACATAAGTGGATTTATTTGGTTTTGCTTGAAATAACTGGATTTATTTCATTTTGCTCACTTTATTAGCACGAAATAATAAAAGTATTATTTTTATTAGTAATACAAAAAAAAACATATAACATTTGATACACTAATAGCACATCCAAAAGTGCATTTAAATATGAAGTGCAAACTCTTTTCTTAGCTCTTTTTCTTCCTCATTATGTTCAACCACTTGATTATTTTCACATAAAAGATTCATGTACCACAAAAAACTTTCGTCACTTTTCCACTCCTTTCCAAATTGTTTTTCCATAAATTGTTGAATACTTTTTATCTTCTTTGGTAGAATGGCACTCCGCAGGTTGACTTCGGATAGCAAAAAATGTTTTAAAGACTTTCCCTTTTTGTAAATTGAGCGCCTAAGTTCGGATTGGGCTTCAAATCGATAATGCTGAAAGCATGATATTTAGTTTTAGTTTGGTTTTTAGAAAGCTTTAGTTTTTTGAATCTGTGTCTTTTCCAGGCAGATTCTTTTTAAGTCTGATATTCCAAAAATCTTGTTAAGGTAATTTTGTAATTCCTTGATATTAAAAATTTTTCAGTCTTGTCTGAGTAATTCCTTGATATCAAAAAGACTTTTGCGCTTCCCACTTGTGCATAATGACCGATATATTTTTCTTTAAATATGATGGTTGGATTCTTTCTAAATATTTTTTCAAGTTGCCCAAAAACTCTATCTGCTGGCATAAAACTGTGACCTCTTACTCGATAGTTAATACAAACTTTTGTGATATTATCAGGAGAATACTTTAACAACCAAAACATTAACATATGAATCAAATAAGAATTTTTGTTCTGGCCCCCACATCCATCGCAGAACAATCTAATCTGAGTTATATTATCCAGTTCCAAAGAATTTAGGTAATCGATCAAAGCAGGTGACACTTCTGTAGCGCCCCTCCCAGCCTGATCTTCGGTCCAAATATAAAACGTTGGATTTTTGGAGTTCATACTAACACAGCAAAAAGAATAGAGGCTTATTTGGTGTGAATAAAATGCATCCGAAATTGGCGTGCGTGGTAAGGGTTGAACCTGCTGCAGGTCAAAGCAAAATGTCAGGGAATTTTCTGGCTCTTGTAAAATGCTTTTGCTCTTTCTTTATGAACTCGACATTCAGTCATATAATTGGTTTTCTCTTTTTCTTTTTTTTTCCAATTTAATTAAATGCTTTAGACGCGTGCATTTCGATTATATTGCGTAATAACAAATTCGCGTACTTTCTTCCTCTTGTCCAAACTTTTTGTTGAAATATGGTCCCCTCCTCTTCGCTCTTTGGGACAGTCTCCTAAGTCAACGATCTTACATAATGTAAACAATCTGTAGTTTTTAACACTGGTTGCTGCCATAAAGAAAGCCCTGCGTACTTTAACTACCCCTGTTGATCTTGTTTTCTAAATTTTTAAAAAGAAGTTTGCTGCCCTTGTTCTTTGTTGGGGATTATCTTTAACATATCTCTTTCTTACGGTACCAGAAACGTTTATCATATGGCTTTTCATTAGTTTTACATCTTGAATGCTTTTTTCTGTTGCAATATACAGCTGACTTCTTATATTCTTAATATCTGATGTTTTAACATTTTGGCATTGGTATGTTTTATTGTCATGTGAGCAAAGGCGCTTAAATTTCTTTAAGTCTGAATCTGGACCTTGATACCTAAAATAAAATACATAAGGTTAAAAAAGGAAAAAAAAAGATAGCGTGGTACTTGCGGAGTGCTGACAGAAGTGAATATTTCTTAAAAATTCGATTATATTCGATTCGATCCGATTTGATATTACACATAAATAATAAATGATTTTACCCGTTACTTTTAGGATAAACAAACTTTCAAAAGAATTAAAAATAACGCAAAATAACCAACGTATGCTCTTTTGATACAAATACAAATATTCTGCAAACTTTCATTCTGCGTTAAAATTTTTCAAAAATATTTATTAGTTTTCTCAGAATTCGAAAAAAAAAGAATAAATTTAAATACCATTGGATCAAGATTTTGCGCCTACCCCCTTAAAAAAACCAAAAAATCCAATTACTTAACAACTAATAACTTTACTGGAAAGAGAGAAACAATATTGACTAGTCTACGATTTATTAAAGGACTTTTTGAAAAACCTGCCTCTATCCCAAAATGAGCTATACCTACTAATCTATAAGTACTTTCTAACCTTACCTTTCAACTTTTCCGGGGCTTTATTCTGCTTCCCGAGGCTCTTTATTCCCGTATTCTGTTTCCTTGATTGGCTTCTTCCACAGCTACTGACTCACCCAAAAAATCTTTTTCCATATTCTTTATTTACCAGTACCTCTGTTACCGAAACTTGTATCGAACTATGTATATTAAACCCGCTAAAAACAGTTTAAACCAGAAATAATATACACTTAGCCACACCCAGTTCACAGACTACTGACAACCTCTTACTGAACAAAAAACACGCGGTCGCTCCAGTCAATGTGTAAACATGCAGAAGCGAATTAATCAACGACAAAGTATCTCTAATACCTCCCTAGTATCATCTATTGTTCGAATGAAACATTTGCATAAGAAGATAAAGTTGGAAATGCGCATTTGTGGATTTATTTAGTTTTGAACAAAAAATGAATTTATTCGCTTTGCATGCAAACATGAATATCACCATTAAAATTCAGTAGGATTTATTCGTTTTTGCTCTTATACATTTTTATATTGGTGTAATTTAACGAAATGAGCCGATATTGGCCACTAACAAAATTTTCGTAAAAAGTGGATTTATTCGGTCTTGCTTGAAACCTCCTCAATGTTGTTTTGCATCTGAGTGTTTTAAAAATCAGCATACGTTGTAAGTTACATTATAAACAATAATATCCAACATCTAGAAATATCCAATAAATTATGATACACAACAATACTCGAGAGGTGTCATCCAAAAATGGTCAGAATGATGTTATATCGTTGCATTACCTATGGAATAGGTAAAAGAAGCCATAACGTTAAATAAAAATGCCGAAATTTAAGATAAAATATCTCGTGAAAATCAACTGATAAGAGAGTCTTTGACCAACCAGTGAAAAGAATACTTAAACTACTAATCCGTTAACAAAAAACACTGATAGTTGGTAGTTTGTACGTCCTATTTTTTATAGTTTACATAACTTACTCTATTTATTTAATATATTGTAAGATATTACAAATAAAAAAGAAATTAAAAAAAAGTTTGTCAAAATGAAAACACCTATACTTAGATATTTAAAATATAATATTTTACGACAATAAATTAATAAAGTACATTCCTGTATTTCCTACCTTTGTTTATTTAAATCTATCTATACCTAAAAAACCATTAGCAACTAAGAAATATGAATTGTCCGATTTATTACATTATTCTACTTTTGCTCTACGAGTAACAAAGATGAATCTCTGTGAAAGTATAACAGCAATTTTATTTTGCACTATATTTTCCACAGTTTATTCATCCGGCACCGCTTTACTGACGAACGCAACATGTGGGGGTGTGTTTACTGCAAACAATTTTTATCTACAGTCACCGAATTATCCGCAAGAATATCCAAGAAATCTGAACTGTGTCTATGTCCTCAAGGGACCTAATTGTCCCACCCACTACCAATTTGATTTTATTGATTTCGATTTGGAAAATTCCGTAGGATGTGTTAAAGACAGATTAATAATTGAAAATCAAGACGCATTATGTGGTAAAGCCGGTCTCAAGGGTAATAAGGGTTATTTTAGTAACAATGGGTCGTTGAACGTAAGATTCATATCAGATGGTAATGGGACATCGAGAGGTTTTATAATATTGGTTACTAGATTGGAATGCGAGAATGAGGCGAAAAGAGAAGACAGCACAACAGATATTACTGAAGTTGTAAGTACAAATTTAACATATTTTATATTTATGACATTTCGACAATTAGAAATATACAATTTACTTCATGTATAACATAAACTTTTAGTTAAATATTAAAATGCCAAAATACGACATATATTTGTAGCCGTTTTAAATCCACTGCTAAAGATAGGCGTCCAATAAATAGTGTCATTGTTTCTGGCTTCGAGCACCTTTATTCGAACTATACGTAACTCACCTAATGTGGTCCTAGTGTCTTCTTGGAGGATGTCCTCCAATACGTTGCACATCGTCTCTAGGTCTTTATTCTAAAAAATTTTTAGTTCATCGTCCATCTATTACTCTGACAACGTTGCCTACCCAGTTCCATTGCCTTGTTTCATTTCAACGTGGTAATTCTTTTAACTATGTCCTGTGTTATTTTATCTATAACAGTTTTCCTCCTAACTATTTGAATTAAAACTCTGTCTCTGAAAGATATATTTTACCCTGACTTATCAAATGCTGTATGTGCACTTACGTTTTATTTATTTCTGTTTTGGTAAGGGTCAGTGTTTCTGTTCCATACGTTAAAATTATAAGTACACATTGATGGAAGACCTTTGTTTTCAAGCACATGGGAATATCTATTCTAATCACTTACCTTAATTTTCTTTAAGCTATACGTGTTAATTCTATTCTCATGTTGACTCCAATATTTTGCCAATTATTGTTTCTTGTAGTAGGTATATAGTTTTCAATTTCTGTTTTTTTATGCAATTTTATTATACGGCACTATTTCATCTTTCTGGTGTAATTCCCTCAAAGAGGCAAGTATTGTATCATTGTATCACCTACAATGTCATCTTGTCTAGATGTTATGTCCGGAAGTTTCTCTGATCATTGAATTTTATTACTTTGATTTTTTACATCTGAAATGGGATCATCTTTACTATATAATGTTGTACGTTAGTCTTATAATTTTTAACGATCTCTTGTTGTTCATAAAAGACACGTCCTTGTTTATTTTCTTCTTCTTAGAGTACCATATCCCTACGGAACGTCGGCGACTACCATGCTTATAATATTGTTATACTGATCTCGGTCTTGCGCTACGTGTAGCAGTTGGTCCGCTGTCAAACCTGTCCACTGCCGCAAATTCCTCAACCAAGAGAGTTTCTTCCGCCTTATCCATTTTTTTCCTTCGATTTTACCGTTGAGAATTAGCCGAAGGAACTCGTATCTTGGTCCCCTGATTATATGTCCAAGATATTCTAGTTTACGCCTCTTAATAATATTTAATAGAGTTCGTTGATGTCCCATTCTTCGAAGAACTTCTTCGTTTCTAGTTCTGCTAGTCCATGTAATTTTTATAATATTGTTCTGAAGCTATTTTCTTGTGGCATTGTAAATTAATTACCATTTAACTGGGAATAAGCCACAATTAAAGATAAAAATACGTTTATTGACGTTTCAATTTCCACTTCAGAAATCGTTCTCAAAATACAAACAATAAATTAAACAATTTTTTTTTTTAAAACAAAATTTGTTTAATTTACTGTTTGTATTTTGAGAACGATTTCTGAAGTGGAAATTGAAACGTCAATAAACGTATTTTTATCTTTAATTATGGCTTATTCCCAGTTAAATAGTAATTAATGGAATTTTTAGTATCCTTCGATACAACCACATCTCAAACGCCTCGATTTTATTCATGATATCGGCGTTTAAAGTCCAAGTTTCACATTCGTATAAAAGTACAGACCACACGTAACATCTTGTAAACTTTTCACGGATTTCCACATTTAATGAGTTAAATGAACTCTGAACTCTCTGTAGCGGTTGTTGGTTTAATATCAGTTGGGTTGCGCCGATATCCACTTTACTGGTTACCATGTATTTAGTGGTATCGATATTTATCGACAGTCCCCAATTTGTGCATTCCATGTCAACTCTATTGATTAGCTCCTGCAGATCGTCGATGTTTTCAGCTAGAATTACAGTATCGTCGGCGTACCGTATATTGTTAATTATTTCTCCTCCTATGATAATTCCTTTTTGATCTTTTAAAGCTTCCCTAAATAGATTCTCAGAATACACGTTAAAGAGGGTGGGAGATAGTATACAGCCTTGTCTTACGCCTCGTTCAATACTGATTGGCTTTGATTCTTTGTTGTTGGTATTAATAATGGCTGTTTGGTTCCAGTTAAGTTTGGCAATAAGTTTGATGTCTTTCTCGTCTAGTTGGATGCTCTGCAAGGCGGTAATTAGTCTGGTATGCTGAACGCGATCAAATGCCTTTTCAAAATCAATAAAGCACATATATACGGGTTTTCTTACCTCCCAACATCGTTGAAGGGGTGTTTGCATAGAAAATAGTGCTTCTCTAGTTACAAGGCATCTCCGGAACCCGAATTGCTCTTGACTAATTATTTCTTCGCACTTGTTGTTAATTCGGTTTAGAAGAGTATGCAACAGTATTTTAACGGCATGGCTCATTAAACTAATGAGTCTACAATCGCTACATTTCTTAACGTTTGGTTTCTTAGGTAGATAAATAAAGATCGATTTTAACGAGTCCGATGGAATTTCGCTGGTATCATATATTTGATTGAAAAGTACAGTGAGTTCTTTTATATTGTCATTTGAGAGTAATTTTAGTCATTCGCTGTATATTTAATCTGGTCCACTGGCTTTGTTGTTTTTGGTTTGGTGTATGGCTTTTTCCACTTCAGCTTTTAAGATTGATGGTCCTGTATTTGCATTTAAGTTAGGTAGTGATCCTCGATCATCCTTAAATAATGCTTTTGCTTTTGCTTGTTTATTTTAGAACTTCTAAATATTCCTCGTGTTCTTATTGAACTTTCGACTCAGGGTTTATTTTATTATATGGTATTAGTAATTTCTTTAGTCTTAAAGTTCCTTATGTCTTTCCTAACGGCCTTTGGAACAATTTTGTTTAAATTTCTTAGCTCTTATATGTTTATTGTGTGTTTATCTCTTATTTCCATTCTGTTTTGGATATTTGCTTGTTTGCTTAGTTTGGCACTACTTTTTTAAGATTTCCACAAACGTTTTGGTAAGCTATTTGATATTTAATTCATCTTGCTCGTCTTTCTATAGGTTAGTCTCTGTTTTTATTTTTGGTACACCCTTGTGTTATAGTCCATTTCCATTATATTGATAGCACATTATGTATGCAAAGCCCTAAAGTGTTGATACGGGTGACTTAATGAAAAATAGATATTTGTCAACAAGTTTACAGAAGTATATAGGAAAACAATTTTAAATTGAGTATGACCACCAGATATAAAGGTTGAAGCAGAATATAATACAATAGTTTTGAGGGTTACTAATCCCTAAATAAAGTTGCCAGTGTCGTAGTGATGGAGATTAACAGGTACTAATGAATTTGCAAGAAATGTAAGATGTTTATTTTATTGGTTATATATAAAATAATTTGTGGCCGTAACAGGCGCTCATTTGTAAAAAAATGAATATTATTTTAATCAAATTCCATTTCAGATTCACTGCTTTCTTCTGAATCTAACGAATCTTCAACTCCAATGTTAATTATTACCGGTTCCAGCATTGCATCAGTCATATTATCCAAATTCCACATTTTCTTTTCTTCCTTGTGAGCATGACTAACAGCATTTTTCCAATTTTTTGGAGTTACTTTTAATAAGGAATGTTCTAATAATTGTTGTAAGTCTTCTAATTTAAAAGTTTTGTTGTTGCGTTCGACTTCACCCTTTACTTGAGACCATTATATTTTCTATCGGATTCAGATCACAGTGATATGGGGGTAAACGTAAAATAATTACAACACGGTTTAATGCCATTTCATTAATTATATATTTTTATAACCTGCTTTATGTTGCCTTACAATAGGTAATAATTCCTTTTTTGTCGAATTCTCCTTGTGCTCAATTGCGTGTTTATTCAACCATTCGATTATCTCTCCTTTTCTCCATGCCTTTGTTGGCAGTTTTTCTGCTAGTTTTGAATGGTAACTAGCATTATCCATGACTATGACAGAATTTTTTGGAACTAAATCCAACATTTGCTCAAAATATTAACTTTTGACAAAATATAGCCTATTTTTTTTCAGATTGATACAACAGTCAAACCAGAATCTACAACAACACTATTCCGTCCACTTCACCTGCCACTACCTAATCCAGAAGACAACTTGCCACAATGTTGTTTAAACACTTTCAATTCTAGACGATCTATAATAACCAGTCCCAATTTTCCATTCACTCTCAACCATAAACTTGACTGTAAAATAAAAATTCAAAAGGCAACAAAAAATATTTGTAGGTTAAAACTTTCATTTTTGTTCTTTTGGTTGGGATCAGCCAATCACAACAGTTGTCCTTATGGATGGTTAAGAGTTGATGGAAAGTTTATTTGTGGGTGCAATCAGGATCTTAAGCTAACAACTACGTTTGATGGTGAAAACGTGAAAGAACTTGTCTTTAGAAGTGAGGGTGTCAATCTAAACTCCCAAAGTGGATTTGTTATTGAAGTGATCCAAGATGAATGTCCAACAAAATACTATCCAGGATATACTCAAAGTTTACCATTTGTATATAGAAACTCTAAGTTTAATAGACAGAATGGAGTGCAACAATATAATCAAATGAGTGTCGACAGCAATGACGATCAAACTTATATAGAAACTGCAGAGTTAATTCACGAGAAGACTGAAGAAGTTGACAATAAAAACTCAAGTTCAAAGTTTGTGCAAGGTCCAAAACTCATAAAAAGCTTTTATCTTTTTTCAGAACCAAATTACAACTCTGCACCTGAACAACCTATCGAACCAGAACCAACTACTTTTATTGATACCAGCACTGTATCTGTAATAGTAACAACTATAAACCATCAAGAATGTACATATTGGAATAACGTTCAAATGAACAAGTTATGTTATGCCTACGGCAACAATTTACAAACGTGTAAAAGAACTTCTGATAGTCACCGACAAAAGGATGTTTTGCCGAAAAGTAACTGTATCGAGCTGGACTATGTTCGTGGATATTTAAAAAGCCCAGGATATCCATTTTATTATCCAAAACTCTTAAACACGTGTTACAGGTAAGTACAAATATTTCTTTACACATACAAAATTCTCATCACCAGGTTTTACTTACCCTAGATAGTCCATCTCTTTTACTTCAATTTTTTAAAAAACTGTTTAAATAAATCTTCAAATCGACGATACTTCTTGACAATAATTGACATAAAAGTATCAATATACCCCCACAATAGAGTTTACTTTTAAATGCCACATAATATACCGCTGGAACGCCAATACAGTAATAAATTTAAGCAATAAGACTAACAGCAGCCCATCAACACCATGCGAAAATAAATGACGATACAGTCTGCACGTATTCCTATTTAATTTAATTATTGATGAAATTGTACAGACGATAATTTATACAGATAAGCTTATTGATACTACTAAATTTCAAAGTAGCCCAATATCATAATACCAACATAATAATCACTAATCGATAATAATCACAGCTGCTACTAAGCTATTTAACAACTTTATATGAGACTGGTCACTTGCCAAAAGACTGGCTACTATCAATATTCATTCTACTTTCTAAAAAATCCAACGCTAGAGAATGTAAAGCAGTAGAGTAAAATTTTATTTAACTACGTAACAAAAATACAAATAATATTGCTTGCACCTAGTCAAAAAATACATAGTATTAAAAAAGGAATATAAAACGTATCTTAAGTATATACAAACAAGAACATATTAAACAGAAAAAATATCCTGACAGCTGTCTTTTGCATTCTAAAAATTTGAAGTGCATTTGTGTAATTGTCTCATCTAATTACACCATAGTTTAGGTAAGAGTGGAATAAAGAAAAATATGTAATTTTTAATGTTTCAAAGTTGACAACCCTTGCTACAACAAATAATGAACTTGATAGCTTTTTCTTAAGTTGTAAGATATGAGCCGACCATTTCAGTCGATTATCTATGGTTATTTCCAATAATTTAAAAGTTTATTTGTTATCCTAGATCATTGTGTAAATTACTCGCAGATATTTCTCAATTTTGCGTTTTATAAGAGTTAAGTTTTGGTTTGTTTGCAGCAAGCTATGAGCTAGATTTAGTAGAAACTTCCTTATGAGACATTTATAAATCATCATTATTTTTTCCTGATATAACGTATGTCGTATCATGTGCGAATTGTATGGTTTTGTACGGAGATATAAATTTAGGTAAATCGTTGACAAATAATAAACAAAAGAGGTCCTTAGACCGAACCTTGTATGACTCCATGTCTCACGGATAGGAAATCGGAGAGATGACCTTTAGATACTACCTCCTGGTATCTGCCACATAGATAAGATGTTATAAGCTGAAAAGGAATACCTCTGATTTCATAGTAATTTAATTTGTGGAGTAAGATGTCGTGTGAAACGCAATCAAAAGCCTTCGACAAGTCGCAAAGAGAAATTGCTATGCGATTGTCGCGTTAAAGTTCCTGAATAACCTCGCTCACAATATTAAATACCGCGTTTGTAGTAGAACGAGCACTTCTGAATCCATATTGTGAGTTGCTAAAGTAATTATTTGACTCATAATAGGAATATAATTGTTATTTGATAACCATTTTAATCACTTTCTCAAAAGTAGAAACAATGCTTATGGGTCTGTAATTGTCAGTTTCTGAGGAATCACCTTTTTTTGTAGATTGGTAGTACTTTTGAGTATTTTAGTACTTCTGAAAATACTTCTGTTAATAGAATTAAATTAGTAGGAAGAGTGAAAAGTGTTAAAACTATTTTGTAAATTTATTTTAAAATTTTGCTATTATTTCGTGAACGATCCTACAATTAAAATTACTAAGAGAATTTATCATTTGAGAGAAATCTTCTTCCACAACGGGATGAAAAAAAAGGACTTGAAGAAATTGACATCGACATTAGGCATCGACATTAATAGTGGGAAGTGATTTTATTATATTCTCTGCAATTGTAGTAAAAAATTTATTTATTTCGTCTGGAGGTAGATCAGGTTATACCGAACTGGATCTTGTGTTGTTTCTTTCGAAACTTACTATTTTCCAGTAGTCACTAGATTTATTATTGGAATTATTAATAAAATTACAGTAAGCTGACTTTCGAACAATTTGTAATTGTCAATTATATTAAATTTTTGTTGTTTATATACTTTGAACAAATCGCGATCCTTAGTGGCATCTGCAATGTGTTTTTATACAAACAGTAAATTGTAAATTTACTGTTTGTGTTTTGAGAACGATTTCCGAAGTGGAAATTGAAACGTCGATAAACGTATTTTTATCTTTCATTGTGGCTTATTCCCAGTTTAATAGTAATTAAACTTTTTCCCCACTTAATTCCTGTAAGTATAATAAAGCATTTATAATAGCCATAAAATACGACATAATGTCGACCTGCACTGATATGTTTAATAGATAAAAATTATTTGATATGTAATTTAGTATGTTAAAAATTATGAAAAACAAGCGGTGCCCGATATAATTTTGTCCTGACTATAATTAATTAATAATTCAAACTCTTTGCGGCACGAGATTTTAAAATTTTTTTGAAATGAACCCTTGGGGCATAGAAATATTCAATTGCACATGTAAAACGTAAAATGACCTCACTTTTTAAGAAACAACTGATAACCATTCGTATTTGGCCTATAACTATACCGTGGAAATTTTACCAATTAAAGATAACACTTAATAGGGACAGAGGGAATAAGTAATACAAACCACTTGCGTAGGTGTAACTTGATAAAAATAGATTAATAAGTGATTAATTTTGTGGACTGCTGTGCAACATGTAGCAAAAATTTGGTGGTTTTTTGGTGGTAGTTTGTATATGTATTATGTACTACGTAATCCTTGTCTTGTTCTATCTTTTTAGTAACTTCATCAGTTTCAATAAACGCTAAGGTATTACTTCCACTTTCTTCTTCTTTATCTATCATATCTTGTTTCGAATCACTTTCGCCATCACTTTTCTTAATTTAATCAATTTTGTTTTCACTTCCCTCATCGTCAAAATAATTTTCATCGTCGGCAGGAACATATGGCATAGGCAAGAATAATTCCAACAAACGGTTTTGTTCGGCTTTAAAGGACATCTATAAATAAGAATTGACAAAAACTTACCGATAAAATGCAATAATAAGATGCTAAATATTTATCTGATCCAGTAAACTGTATCCAGGCAGGTAAAAACGTATACTAACAGGAGTTTGGTTGATTGGGAGAGGTACAGAAAATGGCGATAGAAAAATAACACATATTTTACTAACGGAGAGTTAAAGCCAAAAAACACTATATTTTGACCTGCATTCTTATCTTTGTATTAACAATTTATTTGAAATTTATATTTATCATAAAAAAGTTAATATTAGTTTGATCAAATAGTAGCGTCAACATGAAATTTTCGATTATAAAATGATAATAAATGCATTAAAGCATAATAATAATTTTCTAGGTTCAAAAAGCGACCCGGATATTGCGGTTTACAAGTTTTTATGGCTGATTTTCAATTACAAAGTAGCTACGGATGTTACAAGGATTACCTTTTAGTGGAAAATCAACACAAATATTGTGGGAAAAGCCTTTGCGGTCGATATTGTAAGTATAAATTTTAATTTGGTTTTCACGAGTAATAAACCAACATAAAATGTTTTAATGTATTAATTAACTGAAAGAAACTTTGTATCATTTTTTAAGTATGATCAAAAATTATTAACGCAGAATTAGATGATACTGTATTTTCTAACGATTTTGTATTTTAAATGCTTTAAAGCAGTGACCGCCAAAGTGTAGCCCGCAAATCCCTAGAAGGTAGCGTTAAAGGCTGAGGGGTCAGGTCATAAATATCCTTGTAAAAAATTTTTTACAAGGAAATTTATTTCATAGCTTAAATAAAAACATGTCAAATAAAAATATAGGGTTATAATGATCATAATATTGTTGTTGCAGCATCCTTCTGGTTCAAAACTAATTAAGCTTTGGGAAAAAGAAGTCTTAACATTTTTAACAACTCTAGTTTTAACATTCCAGGCAGTTAATTTTTTCTTTAATTTTTGTTAGAATTCTTGAAAACAATTATCCAATAAAGAAATCAGTACCCACCTATACTATCAAGGCTAGTTTGAGTTTTTTTGGGCACATATTCAAAGAGCTGTTATTTTATATTGTCCAAAGTAGCTTGCATATCTGTAAAACTTGCTTAAAATTCACCAGATACCCATGGTTTCAAAAGGGATTGAATTTTAGTGGGATTCTTTCTGTGTTATCGAACCCAAGGTGACCTAGTATGTTGGAGTATCTTCCAAAACTTTTTCGCAGGTATCTGGACGTCAAAAGTAGCACAGCATTATGAATGGTTTTATACAGGTTTTCACTTGGACTTAGCTGTATTATGTTTTCTAGGAGGTTTTTCGGAAAAACTCCAGTACTGGATAGAATAATAGGTACTGTCTGGGTATTTTCATTCTCCACTGTCATCTTATTCGTATTGTATTTGCATCTGTATAGTTGGCCATCTTTTCGTTGTATTTAACCCACAGATTATTATTGTTAGGTTTCGGCATATCTATTAGCGTTGTTTGCCTAGTAAGTTTATTAACTAGTATGAGATCCGGTCTATTATGTGTCACTGGTTAGTCTGTGAGCACAGTGCGGTCCTAGTATAGCTTATAGTTGTCGTTTTCAAGCATTCTGTCAAAGAAGTATTGATCATAGGGAAGATTATGTCTAGAGAAATGCCAGTTTTTTGGCTAATTCCTGGTAAATTATCTATCCTATTGAGTCGTGGTATTCTTCATACTCAATACCAACAAACGCCTGGCAGCCCCCTGTAAAATTTTGGACGGCTTCTTGTGCTTAACATCCATATCAGCATTTGTCGTTTTAAACTTGAAGGTCTTTGACAATCTATTTCAGATAATTTTTCGTTAGAATAACCTGATCTTGAATCTCGAGTCTCGAGAAACATCTTTCCTGATGTCAACCAATAGTTCAACGCTGTATTGTCGACATATTCTTGGCTGATCTAATTGAGGTGTCGCTTATTTAGAGGTTTACTTATCCAGGTACGCATTTTATTTTGCTTAGTCAGATGGTTTATGTGCATTTCTTGTTCCCTCAGTTTAAGAGGCGTTATATCATCTACTGCGCAAATTGCTCGATGTGAAGTAGATGTCTCATCCGCGCACTTGAAAATAAGTTCTTAAATTACTACCAACCAGTTTATCCAGTTGCTTACCCATGTCCACAAGTCCTCTTCTCCCTTGACATCGCGGTAATGTTGTTCTCTCTACTGTACTGCGTGGATGATGTTTTTGCGCCTTTGTAAGAACTATTTTTACTTCTCGCTGAAGACTCTCTATATCCGTTTTTACCCACTTAAATTAAAAACTGAATATCTAAGAGCAGAGCAGGCGTACGTATTTAATGCCTTACACAGGATATAACCGATTTAACTGTCTTACTCTTTGCCCAAAATCAGAAATTAATTTGGTTTTTTATTTGCTTGTGGTCAATTTTGCGTGCTTGCTTTACTCAGAGATATTTGTATATATCATTTTCACCCATTGCTTCGATGTTTTCGCCATCTTGCATATCGAAACGTCCGGGCTGAATATTTTCTCTGACTATATTTAACATACGGCACTTGTCTAGTCCAAAGTGCATACTGATATCATTTGGGAATGTTTCCACAGTTTTCATCGTCTGATCCAGGTGGTTTTGACTGGAAGCTAATAATTTAAAATCATTCATATACAGCAGATGATTAAGCTTCGGCATAACAGTATTGTTATTTTTAATGCCAAATCCTGAGTCAGTGGAGTTCAGTAGCTGCTGAGATAGTGGGTTCATCACTAACCGGAACGTGAAATCAATGAGTCCCCCTAAAAAATGCCACGGTTAATTGAGATTTATTCAGTTTCGTTGTTGTTTTCACAGGCTATTTGAAGTTTAATTTTAGTCTTCTATTCCGTCACTGCATGCTTTAAAAAGGTCACTAGACTATCATCGACTTTGTAAAGTCTTTGCAAAGCGTGTCTGTCCTTAAAAGAAATGATGAGTTTACTGATGGATACAGGTGACAGTGAAGAAGATGACATGCCTCTTCTTAGTTTTCGAAACCCTGTCCATCTTTTAATCCATAAAACTGTTAGAGAATACTCATCGAAAAAACACGTGGCAGGTGACGTCTACCCTCTAATATGGTGGAAAGTGAACAAGGTAAAGGACGATCTTCTTTTTTCTGTAGTACGGCATTATTTAGTTATACCACCAAATAGTGTCAAACATCATCGAAACGGGCTTGAAAGAGAAAAGGCGTCGAAGCTTTTATTTCTAAAGTTTAACATTTCTCCATTTCTCCAAAAGTTGTATTTAAGTATATTATCACTACCTTTTGTCTAGAATCTCGTGGTGTAACATCTTGATAAACCACATATTTTGGGTTTTCAGTATTTTACAATAGGGAAAAAGTTATACAACGCCAGTAGGTATAGAAACTTAAAAAGCGGTAGAAAAGGGAACTTGTAAACATGATAATGGCCAACGTCTGAATACGGACACGGCACCTAAAAAAGAAAATAAAGAATTTTTTCTCAATAAGACATTTAACAGCCATAACAAAGCATTTTGTGATGTTACATTATCATCTTTAGTTGTTTTAATCAGAATTAACTATGAGTTATGATTATCTACAGCTATTCAGTGCTTTATCGCACAAACATCACAACTGAGAATTATTTTTATGCAGCTGACTTATAAAATGCGATTATCTCGAAAACGTTCGAATTTTTAGGTTACTAATAAGTATACCTTTCCTATGTAAAAATAATGTATCTTTAATATTTTTCAACACAAATAGAGCTAAGTTAAAGAGCAAAAAAGTTAAGCGCAAATTTATTCCACACATGTCGTATATGCAGCTCCCTTTATCAGTTACATTAAAGTATGAATAAAAATTATATTTTATCTTACTCAAAAGCATCCGATTGTAAATTTGTCTCCAGAAATATTTACAAACGTAAAAGTTATAGCGAAAAATAAAATTTTAAATGTTTACTTTAACATCCTGTTTCTTTCAACATTTTATAAAAGCAAGTTAACTTAAATCGTAACAGTTTAAAGTTCATAATCTACGGTTTCTGTTTGTACAATTACTTAAGGACCACCCTGTATATTATGAAGTCGCATTTACAGTTCAAGAAAAATCTAGGCACTAATGTGGCGCATTCTCTTGGTTAAATACGGAAGGAAAACGTAAGACGAAAAAAATTGTATAACTGGCTCATACACGGCGCAAGTAAAAACATTTTTTCAATTAAACAACTCTAATCCAAATCTAAGACGGCGTATTAGATTTAGATATTCCCTTTGGTTTGGATTGGCAATGTAATGTTATTAAAGGGCGAATGAACTGGGTATGATAAGACAAGGGGAGTCGTCAACTAATTTTTTTCAAAGGGGCTTCGATATAAAAACTGCTTAAAACAATAGAATAAGTATACAAATGAATACAGAAAAAAAAATAAAAATAAAAAATTAAAAGAGACGAGTATAGAACAAACTAGAAGTGTAAATCGTTAAAAATGAAGGCAATGTAGATGTTCCTTGGTGGAAAGCTTATGATAACGTTCCACAATATAAACTATCGAAAGCGTCAGATAAAACGAACATGAGCATGAATTTAATAACTGCATAATCAAAAGAGCTGTATCTTTATGCTATCTCAAAGGTTAAGGTCAGACAAAGTCTGTCGAATGGATTCGATATAAATAGAGGCCTTAAATAAGGCTGTTGCATTTCCTATAAAATTATTTAAAATTCATCTGGAGCTGTAAAATTATAAAACGGCAAGTGCAATAATATGGAAATGACGATTAACAAGAATAGCATAAATATACACATTGTCACTTGCAGATGATCAACTAGTGATGGCCAGAACTAAGATGATATTGAGTAGTCTGAAGAACAAGTGTTAGTGCAGATACTTCACAGCAGAAGAAAAACCTGAAGGCCCCATTATATTTGGAGAGAATATATCAATCGGGAAATTAAAGAAAGAGACCTAGAAGAAGACTTATAGATCAGGGTTGTCCAACTGGCGGCCCGCGGGCCGCATCCGGCCCACGAGTTTATTTGTTGTGACCCACGTAAGATTTTCGAAAAGCATATATTTTCTTTAAATGCTGCCAATGTGAAAAAATATTTTTTAGTTTATTTTATATTTTATGGTTTAGCAGTGTTTTTACATCACAAGTACTGTACCGCATGCCGCTTCGCGGACGTGTAACGAACACAATCGTCCTCCACCACTACGAGAACTGCACTGATTACTGCGCCAGTGTGCTACTGACACGTAGGCTAGTCGGCTAATTTATTAAGTTGCTAGTGAAGAGTGAACTTTATTAATTCTTTGTCTTGATTCCTCTTATACAATAATTAGTGTAAAACCAGTAAAACGGAAAATTGATAATGAGAACAGAATTTGCAAAAAAAGTTGGGAGAGTGATTACTTGATTGCTAACAATAATGGAAAGTTGCAGTGCTTAGTGTGCATGAATGTCGTTTCAGTACCTAAAGAATATAATGTGAGAAGACATTACACAACAGTACATGAAAATAAGTATGCTACGTACACAAATGAAAGTCGGCGTGCCCTAGTTGCAGATTTGAAGAAGAAGCTTAAACAGCAAACTGGTATGTTCAGTAAAATATTACAATCTTAAACGCATTCTTTGCATGCGTCTTATGCCGTATCGCTTGAGCAGGCAAAGGCAAAAAAACCTTTCACTGATGGCAATTTGATAAAAAATGTGCTGTTGAAATGGCCAAAGCTTTCGGTGATTCTAAAATGGCGGAGAAATTTGAATTAGTGCCACTTTCACATCAAACCATACAAAGAAGGATTGTTGCTATGGGTGAGCAAGTAGAAAAATCTGTGCTTAGCCTGGTTAAGAAAAGTTCATATTTCGCACTTTGTTTGGATGAAGACACTAATCAAACCGATGTTAGTCAGCTGTTAATATTTGTGCGCACTACTTTTGATGATTTTACCAGTAAAGAGGAGTTATTTTATATTTGTCCTCTTTATGGAACAACAAAAGGAAAAGACATCTATGAGGCTGTCTAGAAAACAGTTGACAGAATTGGAGGCTTTGATAAATGTTCAGTCATAGCAACAAACCGCGCCCCATCAATGACAGGTAAAAAAATTGGATTAGTGGGTCTGCTTCGAGAGAATGGTGTCACTTGCCCAGCAATAATTCATTGTATTATACATTAGGGAGCTTTATGTGGAAAATCAGTCAAGAAAGATCAAGTTTTCCAAACCGTGATTAAGATTATAAATATGATTAGAGGTGGAAATCGATCTCTTTTACACAGGCAACTTAAGCAGTTTTTAGTGTAACCAGAGGCTAAGTATGGAGACTTGCTAATGTACAACCATGTAAGGTGGCTGAGTGCAGGAAAGTGCATGGAACGATGTTTTGCCATAAGAAAGGAAATTCCTGCATTCCTCAACAAATACGTTTCATCTGACACAACTGAACTGGAAGAGAAGTTTAAGGATCCAGAATTCCTAAGACAGTTAGCTTTTATAACAGATCTGACTAATCATCTTAACATGTTAAACTTGAGTCTTCAAGAAAGAAACCAGACGGTTTCAGGTTTGATCAGAATGATAAACGGATTCTGGAATAAACTGAACGTGTTTAAACGTGCTTTGGAAAAGAACAACCTGACACACTTCCCTAGCTGTCTGCAAATAGCAGAAGAATTCAACGGTGAGAAAAATATTGAGTATTCATCCTGCATTTCACAAATTGAACAAGTTATTGATGAATTCAATACAAGATTTGAAGAAATTGAAAGTCTCAAAAGCAGTGCACTACTTTATAATAACCCTCTTGGAGCAACCATTGATGATTAACCACCCAACTTATAGCTTGAGTTATGTGATCTTCAAGCAGGCATGTTCCTTATCACCAGACAAGAAAAGGGACCTGAATTTTTCAAAGGAAAAACTCCCAAACCTACGAGATTTTGGACAGAAAATGACGGCAATGTTCGGAAGCACATATACATGTAAAAGTGCCTTTTCCTCCATGAAATACATAAAAAATCAAAACAGAAGCAACCTTACCAATTCTTCCTTACGTCATCTTATGAGAGTGTCTACAACTGAACTGGAGGTGGACATTTCTTCATTGGTGGATGAAGCCGATCGACCACAGTCCTCACAATAATTGGATACATCTTTTTGTTGCTTTTGCAATGTTTGTCTTGATTATTAAAAAGTGTTATCAATAAATTTTCCGTTTATAAAAAAATGTAGTTGTTGAGCAATAAAAGAAATAATACTCTTTTTTGTTTTAATTATTTTTATACCTCACTTTATTTTGTTGTTACTTATAGTATAACAAAACTCACTAGAATAACAAAATTATTCTATGGCCCGCGACAACATCAAAGGTTTTAGTTTTGGCCCTTGAGGCATTGCAAGTTGGACAACCCTGTTATAGATGAACCGACAGGAGTGGTGTAAAAGCAATGTGGAACAACATTCCGCCAGTGGTGTTACAGAATACACGTTTAAGGTTAAAATAAAGAAATTAATTTCGCCAAAATGCTCCCCAGATGAAAATCTTTTGATCATGTTTAGAACGGGCGTAGGAAATTCCGACACTAAGTAGGTGCGACTAAAATTTAATAGCAATTTTCGACACCAGTCCCAAAGGCCCCTTTTTATCTTCAAAGGTATATTTTGATACCAAATATATAAAGCTGAGGCATACCTGAAATACCAAAATTAATAATTTATTTATTTATTTTAATTAAAATAATATACAATTTATTTTTAGAACGGTAAAAATATCTTAATGTAATACAACTAGTAAATATGGTACATTTTACAGTTAATATACATATAATGATGTATTTGCTAGTATAAGAATGATACGATATAGCTTTTATGAAATCTAACCTACGTATTTGTTGGGATCCATCATTTTCTCTAAAATGATATATACTATCTTTAATTTTTGATAATATTTGCAAGTTATTTTGTCCTCAGTGTCCAGTTGAAATTCTTTTACCTTTTCAATAAAAAAAAATAAAAGGATGTGTTGAATAAAAAGAATAAAACCTCGAATGAAAGAATTCACAGGCAATAATTAATAACCCCTTTATGGACAGATATGCTTTTTGGTAACGGACCTGGTAACAGTTTACGATGACAGTTGTAATTGTTATGTCTTATGCCAGCTATATCAGGCACCTTCAGCAAATTGGCAGTTCTTATAACTTTGGCAATATTTTCTATTATGTCGTCTTAGGCTTTTCTTATACATGCATTGGTAATCATCTTTATTTCAAGCTTTTTTGGGTCGGCTTCATGATGATTTATCAAGTCACTTCTTGTAATGGTAAGGTTATTACATCCTATTTTAAATACTTTTGCGGAGTACCTAGAAAACTGCCAACATTTTTGGGTTGCATTTCATTTGATATCATTTTCAACTGGATAACGTTTTATTATCTCTCCAGATTTGGTCGTCGTATCCTTTTGCCATGCTTCTTGGTATCTTATCCTGCTTCTGTATGCTCCTACCTTCGCTTCCTTTTCCAGTAAATATGTATTAAGATGTCAAGTATAACCTCCTTGGAGACCATATGTAGTTGACATCGTCGTGATAATAAGCATGCTTGTCGTTAAAACTTATTCAACTTTATTCTGATAGTCTTTTTTAGCACTTAGATCAACATACTAGTGCATAATACGTAATAGAATGTCTGATTATAGGCATATATAACCAGTATATCTCTCTGAACTTCATGATTTACCACACATTCCTAGACACCTATAAAGGGAAAGCTTTACGGGTGTTTTTATGCGTTCTTCATTTAAAAGGTTTTCATGGTTTCCAAGGCTTTACTAAATGCTTCAATGAATACTCGCTAATGAAAGCTATTTAACTCACAAATAAATATATATACACTCATGTTGACAATGCATTCCTGAGCAACGTGCAAAATACGTCTTGATTAACTTCAAGTCATAAAAATTTTTCATTTTCGGTGAAAAATTTTCTTGATTTCCGGGTTATTTTGATCGATAACTTTGCTTGCAAAGTAAAATTTGCACAGAAAAATGATTTTTGCACCGACAAATTTTTTCGCATCTTACACACTATATTATATTTTAGTAACTTTCGACTTGACAGATAAAACTCACGAAGATTTAGTTTTTGTGAGTGATCGCTTCTTTTGTGGCCGCGGCTTTTACGCCACGTATGAACAACTTCCATGTCAAACACCTACAACTACAAAAGTGCCAGATGTGACTGTGGTACCCATACCTACAACACCTCCAACTACTTCAAGTCCAATTTGTGATAGATACATTGCCGATAGATTATTTATTTTTGAGGTAAAGCAAGATAAGGATAGGTGTTCCTTTCAAATCAGGAAAGCTTCACAGGTATTTTTTTTATTTATTTTTAATATTTAACACAGATCCGTTATAATATTTACAAATAATAAAAAAAAATTAAATGTTACATTATATATTATATTACTCGTAAATTACAAAGGCATCAATTGTAAATAATCGAAACCTTTCTACGCTACAATATAAATGATCATTTGCATATACGTATATACGCATATACGTATTGTATATACGTTTATCACTTACTTCTTACTTGTTACTTTCAGTTTAGCCTTCTAGAGTTTTAAAACAGTATTTAAGAAGCTTTGAGAGCAGAATTTGGTAATAACCTTTTCTCTTTGTCCTGGAATATATTATCACCAAGTTCCTTTTCTACTTTTGTACCTTGTCTAGAGTTCTTCCTCTATGTAACATTTTGGAATTATGCAAATGGGCTCTGGTCCACTAAAAATAATATATACTCTTTCTTTGGCGAAAATACCAGTAATATACATATATTTATCATTCTGGCATCCATACAAAAGTTACTTTGCTATGCTTCGTGAGTTTTTCCAGAGACTGATTGTATTACGAGACTCATAGACACACAAGTTGTAGATTTTAGTGTAGTTTGAATATCTAAAGCAATAACTATTTAGCTCAGTTCCGTCTAAGCTTTTAACGAGAGTAGACGTATTTACGATAAGTATAGTGGTGAAAACAAAGTTTATTTTGTGAAATGGAAGTAGTTCAGAAGAAGTAGAAGGAAGAGATTGATGATCCTGGTGAAACAACTGTATCATTATCTGGTGAATTGTTTCCAATAACAAACGATTATAAAAATGATAATGATCCGAATCTTATCAGAAAACATTTCGATACAAACATACGATACCGGTTCTGTGACACTGGCCCATTCGTTGTGTATGTAGAGTCTACCGATAAAAATATCGGTAAATTACATCCGATAACAGTTGGACATTATTTACACACTAATCATTTTAAAAATAACATTACTGAAATTAAATCTATTGGTAGGAATAAAATTAAGGTAATTTTAAATAATGCTTCTTCTGCTAATAACATTGTAAGTGGTGACTTTTTAGAAGCCAACAATTTAATTGCTTATATCCCACGGTTTTTTGTGGAACGTCGAGGTTTAATACGTTCAATTGATACAGGGTTTACCAAAACATATCTACTGGAAAAACTTAAAAGTGAGAAGCCAAATAGTAATATTAAAGAAATAAAACGACTTAACCGTAGAGTCACTACAGAAACAAATGAAACAAAACTAGTACCTAGACAATTTGTATGTATAACATTTATCGGAGCTTCTTTACCAAAAGAAGTCATAATTAATAGTTGTATTTTTTCAGTGGAACCGTACATATATCCTGTTATACAGTGTCAGAAATGCTTAAGATATGGACATATGACACAACAATGTAATGGGAAAGAGCGTTGTAAAAACTGTGGTGAAAATCATAATAATAAGGACTGCACTGTGAGAACTAAATGTTTATACTGTGGTTAGCAACATTCGGCATTATCAAGAGAATGCTCAGAATATATTAAACAACGTAAAATTAAGGAAATTATGGCAACAAAAATATATCTTGTTTCAGGAAGATGAAAAAGTTCAAAGCAATCCAAATTATTATTCAAACATATAACTAATAACAGATTTTCGTTACTAGCTAATGATTCTAGTAGCTTTCCTCCGCTACCTTCCAAAAATGTTAATGTACCTTCAGTGTGCAGTATCTCTAAACCGAGAGTTGTGAGAAGAAATTCCACATCAAGTAACAGTTGTGAATCTTTAAAAAAAAAAGAAAACTGTATGAGAGCGATCATATTGATAATGAAAGAGTTGAGAAAAGTACAGCCAGTTCGTCAATCTTACCAAATCCTTACAGGGATGAGTTCATGAGACTTAAAGAAAAAATAGTTGAAGGTATTACTAATATAATATTCAGCTTTCTCTCTGATGTTTTAAATTGCAAAGATTATATAGACAATGATCAAAATTTAATTAAAAAACATATTTCAAATCTATTGGAAAATTTATCCACATCCAATGGATCATAAAAGTTTAAATAATTTAAATAAACTTCAATGGAATAGTCGTTCTACTGTATCTAATGCGCAATCTTTTAAACAATTTCTGTATTCGAATGCTATTGATACTGCAATTTTATCTGAAACATGTTATAAGACAAAACACAACACTGTTTATAAGGGATACCAAATTATTAGAAAAGATTGTCAAGATCGTAGATTTGGAGGTGTAGCTATATATTTAGGCTTACGGATAAATAAGTATAAGATATTGGATATTATAAATGTTGGAACATTGGAAATGTGTGGTGTAAAAATTGATTTTAATGGCAGAATAATTAACATAATCTCATTATATAAACCTGACAAGAATATAAGCACATGAGAATGGGAACAGCTTTTTAATTGGTGTTCCTCACTCGAATGAGAGACGGTACTAGGAGGTGACTTCAACGCCCATCATGCGGTATGGGGTTCTCCAAAAAATGATACTGATGGCAATAGAATAATTGATGCATTAACTGATACGGATTTAATATTTCTAAATGATGGTTCGGCGACTAGAATTACCCCTCCAAACTCTACAAAATCAGCTGTAGACTTAACGCTAATAACTCCTGGACTAATTGCACTAGCACTTTGGCAAACATTGGATAGAACTCTTGGATCTGATCATTATATTATTTTAATTAAGTTGATTATTGATGTACCCTCTTTTGTTGTCTATCAAACAAGAAAATGGAAATTAGAGAAGGCCAACTGGAATTGTTTTATACCACTCTTAAAATGGAACTAAAGAATGTTGTATACTCTGAAAACTGTAATGAAATGGCATTTAATCTGAATAAAGCAATTAGTACAAGCAGTGAAGCTTCTATCCCCCAAAACGCACCCCCACAGCTACAGCTTAAGAAGAATGCTCTTAAAAAATACAAAACCGCATCTACACTGAATAATTTTCTTGAATATGAAAAGATAGAAGCTACAACTAAACAAATTAAACAACAAAAACGCAAAAATCAAACATGCTCCTTCCGCAGTTGCAGAAGATATTCTTCAGAAGTTATGTCCACCATTTGTTGACAAACATATACCTTACATGGCTTTAAATCCAGAACATTATTTATTAAAAGAAATAAAACAAAAAACAAAAACACAGCTTCAGGTCCAGATCAGATTTCTTACATTATGTTACAAAAAATGGGTGTACTCGCTAAAAGACTACTACTACATATTTATAACAACTGTATTTTGCAAACTGGAATAGCTCCTTACAAATTTAATGATAGCTTTGTTATATTAATTCTAAAACCGGGAAAAGACAAAGATAATCCGGAATCATATAGACCAATAACATTATTGTCATGCATTTTTAAAACATTTGACAGAATTCTCAAATTGAGAATGGAAATTTGGTTAAGGCGGCATAATATTCTACCAGAAACACAATATGGATATAAACAAGGCTATGAAACCACGGATGCAGTAGTCCGTCTGACTACAGATGTTCAAATTGGTTTTTCTAATTCCATGACAACAGGTGCATTGTTTATTGACATGAAAAGTGCATATGACAATATTGATTTAAATATACTTTGTGATAAACTTGTGTTTCTTGGCATTCCAAAATCGATAGCACATTTACTATTAAACCTATACAAAGAGAGAAGTGTATCGATAAGAGTAGGTCACAATATTATTGGACCCAAGATCACATCAAAAGGTATTCCACAGGGAGCTGTTTTAAGTCCACTTCTTTTTAATTTGTAAACATACGATTTGCACAAATTATGGTCTCCCAATATTGTTTGCTTACAATATGCTGATGATATTATCATCTATTCACATAAGAAAACGTACAGTGAAAGCACTACTGAACTCAAACATATTATGTACAACTTGGATAATTGGACTTGGTTAAATGGATTCAATATTTCGTACCAAAAATGTGAGGTAGTATTTTTTTTCAAGAAAACACCCTATTAAACATCACGCTGTAACCTTACATGGTAATGATATTCCAATAATTGTTTCGGAATTTAGATATCTTGGTGTCGTACTTGACAGAAAACTGCTTTAGACTCAACATATTAATTATACAATTGGTCGCTGCGAAAAAGGTATTAATTTTCTTAAAATGGTGTGTAAGAGATCATGGGGTGCAGATTAAAACATTGCATTGAATTTTTATCGAGCCTATATAAGATCTATAATAGATTACTGTTGTGTATATGGGTCAGCTAGCATAACCAATTTACGTAAACTTGATAGAATTCAATTTAAAGCTCTAAGGATTGTGTTAGGATTGATAAAAAGCACTCCAAATGAAGCCAGCATAGCTGGCTTCATTTGGAGTGCTTTTGATATTGGCTTTTGATGATCATGCTTTTTGATTTTCATGATCATGATGGCTTTTTGATATCAGATGCTTTTGGCATCTGATAACCCACTCTCATTGCGCAAAGAATATTTGGCAAGCAAATATTTCCTAAACCAACAGTATCGTGGCACTTTTAATGCCAAAATAATTAATGAATTAAATACAGCTGATTTAACTTCTACATGCTTTGTTAAAAAAAACTCTCCACCACTTGCAAGAGCAATTATAACTTGCAACGAACTGAAGTTAATAAATTCCCCTTATAATCTTATCTGGGAATCGTTATATATACCACATCTAACAAGTGTTCTAGCTACAAATATTATTATCCCAAAATACCAAAACGAATTTTGTTACACTACTCTTAAAGAAATATTAAGTGGCTATTTAGATCATACTGTGATCTAAATAGACGGGTCAAAATCACCAACATGTACAACCAGTGCTTACTTTGTACCAAACATGAAGATTAAAAAATCATTTATTTTAAATAATCAATCCAGCATTTTTTCTGCTGAAGCATGTGCTATATACAAAGCCCTTGAATTGTGCTGTGAAAACCAGTGGAACAAAATTGTCATATGCAGTGATTCACTGTCAGTATTACACT